CAAAAGGAAGCGCTGCACCCTTAGCCATCACCTCCTCAGCCCCTGGCAGTCACTAATCTACTTTCTGTTTCTATAGAGTTACCTATTTCATATCATGGACATTTGATATCCTGGGAATCATACAATACGTGGTCCTTTGTGAACAACTTCTTTTACTTAGTGTAATGTTGTCAAGGTTCATCAATGTTGTAGCATGTATCAGCACTTCATCTTTTTTATTGACAAATACTCCATTATATGGATATAACACATTTTATTTATCCTTCATCACTCCATGGACATTTAGGTTTTTGTACATTTTGGCTATTATGCATAATGCTGCTATGTACCTCTGTGTACAAATGTTTGCGTGGAACGATGTTTTCATTTTTTCTTGTGTATATACCTAGGAATGGAATTGCTGGATTATTGAGAAACTGTATATTTAGCCAGGTGAGGAACTGCCAGACTATTTTCCAAAGTGGCGGCATCATTTTATATTCCTGTCAGCAATGTATGAGGATTCCAATTTCTCTACATCTTCACCAATGCTTTTTATTGTCTGCCTTTCGTATTGCAGTCATCCTAGTGGCCATGAAGTGGCATCTCACTGTAGTTTGGGTTTTGCATTTCTCTGATGGCTAATGATGTTAACCATCTTTTCATTGATCATGGCTTCTTTGAAATATCAGGTACAGCTCTGACCATAGCATGAAAGATGGAAAGCCATTACACATTTTCTTATTCTGGAATGAAAAGTCATGCTACACTATGAGACCTCACATAATATAGTTGAGAGAGTTAAGAAGAGGGCACTCTAACCTATTAGCAGTGAGGCTAATAATTGGAATTTTCCCTTCACTTTGCCTCAGCCACTTTGGTCTTCTCTTTTAGTTTCTGAATAGAGTGGGGCTATTTAAATCTAAGGGCCACAGTACTTGCTATTTCTTTTGCCTCTAAGTGCACCTCCTCTAACATTTTGCATGAGTCATTCCTTCTCATTATTTAGGTCTTAGCTCAAATGTCACTTCCTGTTCAGATCTGGCTAAAGTAGCTTCTCATCCTTTAGTCTCCTTCTGTGACATAATGCATTTTAGTTCCTTCATGGCACTCTTGCAATTTAAAATGATCTTTTTTTTTTTTTTTTAAATAGAGATAGGGATCTTGCTAAATTGACCTGACTGGCCTCGAACTCTGGGCCTCAAGTGATCCTCCCATCTTGGCCTCTCAAAGTGCTGGGATTATTGGCATGAGCCACCACACCCAGCCCCAAATGATCTTATACATTAAAGAAACAACAAAAATTTATTGACATTTTTGTTGCCTGACTTCTTTGTTAGAATGTGAGCTTCATGAGCAAGAAGATACTGGGTCTGCAATTTTTGTCATTGAATCCCCACCTAGAACAGTTCCTGGCATAGAGCAGGTACTAAAAAACCATTTGTCAAATGGGCAGATAAATCTCTAATTAGGTATTAAGATTTGGGAAAACATTGAGGAGGACTTTTCCTTTCACTGTGGTTCAACCATGTTAGCCTTTGAGAAGCTAATAAGAAAGGAAAACAGAGTTTAAAAAAAAAAAACCAAAAGGAGTGGTGAATGTAACGTGATGTGTGCTTTCTAAGTCCCAGTTTCCTCATCTATAAAACTGGCATAATAACCTCCTTGTGGGTGAAGTAAGACTTAAGTTATATTTCACTTAAGTGAAATATTCACCTACGCAAAGTCCTAGGTGCAGAGTAAAACTCAGTACACCCATCCCTTGGCATCCACAGAGGATTGGTTCCAGGCCCCTGCAAATATCAAAATCTGAGGATGCTGAAGTTCCTTACATAAAATGAACTAGAATATTTTGCATATAACCTATGCACATCCTCCCATATGCTTAAGTTATTTCTGGATTATTTATAATACCTAATACAATGTTAATGTTATGTAAATAGTTATGCTGTATTGTTTTTATTTGTATTATGTTTTATTGCTGTATTATTTCTTTTCAAATTTTTCAATTTGCATTTGGTTGAATCTACAGATGCAGACCGTGGGAATGCGGAGGCCTGACTGTACATGATAACTATTATCACTAGAAAAACAATCTTGCAGTTAGGCACTGTGGCTTACACCTGTAGTCCCAGCACTTTAGGAGGCTGAGGGAGGAGTTGAGCCCAGGAATTTGAAAGCAATCTGGGCAACACAGTCAGAAACTTTTTAAATAAAAATAAAACAAATGAAAGTGTCTTGCATTAAGTAATTTCTTAAATCATAAGTCAGAACTTTATGAAACGTCCTGACATTTCCTATCATGAAGACACCAGCCATGCTCTCATGCTTGAACAATTGCATCATTATTCTGGCAGTTTAGTGCATGACTAATACATTATATGTTTTTTCTCTTACTTTTATGTGTACCATATAGTCTTATTGAGAAAAGTTTTGGTACTTTTTTTTTTTTTTTGAGACACAGTCTCACTCTGTCACCCAAGCTGGAGTACAGTGGTGTGACAATAGCTCACTGCAGCCTCGACCTCCCATGCTCAAATGATCCTCCTGCTTCAGCCTCTCCAATAGCTGGAACTACAGATGTGCACCACCATGCCTGGCTAAATTTTGTATTTTTTATAGAGATGGGGTTTTGCCATGTTGCCCAGGCTGGTCTTAAACTCCTTTGGTACGTTTTAACTTTGGTATGCAAAATGACAATCATACACGTGCCACTCTTGTGTTTTCTTTAAAATAAAATAAAAAGTGAACTTTAGTACTTCAGAAGAAGCACTGGACCAGAACACAGAGACTGTGTCTCCGTATACCTCATATAAACAGGTCTGACTGCTGGCTGTCAGAATAACCCTATAGAATCCCTAGCATCATTTCTGATACTCACTTTTATGATTCTTTGCAAATGGCATTTGTGTTCTCAGGATCCTTCTGTTTTCTATACTTGGCCAATATTATTAAGATAACTGAAAACATTAAAATATATCCTCAAATGATCCTCCCATCTTGGCCTCTCAAAGTGCTGGGATCGTAAAAGGGAATTGTTTAATCTGATAGTAGTAGAAAATAAGACAATAATCCTTCTATTGAAGAAAGAACAAAAGAAAATGCAACATAAAGATTTTACATCACACAGGCAGCCTCCCTAGAGGAGGCGTATCATTTTAGTTAATGTAAAAGTGCAATCATCTCATTAAGGGACGAGGAGTGTTGAGGTGGATAATGAAGTTCTCAGTGAAGACCTGGATTTGGAATGCATCATCTGATGCATTTTTCTCCCTAGAAATTTTACTTAATTTATATACTTGTCCTAGTCTCCCATTTAAATTAATTTTCTCTCCTTGAACACACCAACACAGCCTCATAAAGTTGTTGTGAAGAACTCACTGAGTTAGTTCATGTAAAGTGCTTATTCCCACTGGCACCTAGTGAGTGCTCTGTAACTGTTGGCTGTATCACCATTACACCCAAGCCCTTCGGCTGGCCTGGCTTTGCTTTGGCTCCAGAATCTTACCTTAGGCAGTGACTTTAGAGTTGGAAGCACAAAGGACGTCAACTCTGCCTCTCTCCTGCCTAGCGGGCAGAAACTACTTCTCTCTGCTTTTTTTTCTGGTGATAGGAAGTCTAAATAGAGGCCAGGTGTGGTGGCTCACACCTGTAATCCCAGCACTTTGGGAGTCTGAGGCGGGTGGATTGCCTGAGGTTGAGAGTTTGAGACCAGCCTGGCCAACATGATGAAACCCTGTCTCTACTAAAAACACAGAAATTAGCCAGGCATGGTGGCGCATGTCTGTAATCCCAGCTACTCTCCTGGAGGCTGAGGCAAGAGAATCACTTGAACCCAGGAAGCAGAGACTCCGTCTGAAAAAAAAAAATTAGCCAGGCATGGTGGCGCGTGTCTGTAATCCCAGCTACTCTCCTGGAGGCTGAGGCAAGAGAATCACTTGAACCCAGGAAGCAGAGACTCCGTCTGAAAAAAAAAAAAAAAAAAAAGAAGTCTAAATGGAATAGAGAGTAACTGCTAATGGCCATGGGGTTTCTTTTTGGGATGATGAAAATGTTCTAGACTTATAAGCCAGCTACTTGGATAGTTTCTCCAAATATTTGTGAGAGTAAACTTGTTGTATTGTTCTTGTGTGAAACTATTAAACTTGTATTATTCTAGCATGTGGAAGAAGGATCGATGAATCTAGATCTGCATGTCTCAAAGTGTGTTCTTTGGACACAAATTCTCATAAAATGCTTAGCTAAATGATAATCCCACTGTCACATACGTTTAGGGTGTGCACATTCCCACACTTTCTTCAAAGTCCCATGGTGTACAAGGGGATGTTAAAGGCCCTGAGGCGTCCTGGAGGAAAGAACTAGTCTCACTTTGTAGAGTTAAGAGTTCCTCTCAGTTACTTTACCATGTAACCCTGTTTTTGTGTTTTTGAGACAGGATCTCACTCTGTCACCCAGGCTGGAGTGCAGTGGCACCATCACAGCTCACTGCAGCCTCCAACTCCTGTGCTCAAGCGATCCTCCCACCTCAGCCTCCCGAATAACTGGGACTACCATACCCAGCGAATTTTTTTTCTTTTTTTGAGATGGGGGTGTCTCACTATGTTGCCCAGGCTGGCATGTTTTGCTACAAATGCGATTACTATTATTTAGGAATAGTGTTCTTTATGAGGTTGGGAAGGGCTGGTCCGTGGCATCAGTGTGCCAGTGGGAAATCTTTGAAGAAAGCTTTATGTGGGGATGTGGCCTTTGATACATCTTGGGCTTCAGGTTCCTGTTGTGTCAAATGACTCCATCAGTGGTTTTCAGACTTTAAAATGGAGCATGTTTTAAAGTGAAATCTCAGTATTAAATTCATTTATAAAAAGAAGCTCCAGTAGCATTGGGATTGTGGACTTGGGCCCTGTTTGTTTGGCCTCCTCACAGGGCATTCCATGGAAGGCCTCAGTATTGAGAGGCCCCAGGACAAGGTTAGAGTTCCTCTAACGTCCCTCCTGTGGCTAAATTTCTCCCTTTCCTTTTAGACGGATGTTTCCAGTCCTCAAGATTAGTGTCACAGGGTTGGACCCCAATGCCATGTACTCCCTCCTGCTGGACTTTGTCCCTACGGACAGTCACCGCTGGAAGTATGTCAATGGGGAATGGGTGCCCGCTGGCAAGCCAGAGGTCTCCAGCCACAGCTGCGTCTACATTCACCCGGACTCCCCCAACTTTGGGGCCCACTGGATGAAAGCTCCCATCTCCTTCAGCAAAGTGAAGCTGACCAACAAGCTCAATGGAGGCGGGCAGGTATGAATGAGGCGGGCAGGCCTGGCCACCCGCTCCAGCCTCCCCACAACACCAATCAAGAAATATCAAGGGTGCATTTAGGCAATTAGAGGTGTCCTCACCAGCCTCTTCTCCCACAGAAGCCAATTATTCCCTGGAGTCCAAATGTAAACAAGAATAAACAGCTCTTAATTGGTGCTTTCAGTTTTTAATGGACTTCCTGATGTTAAGAGAGTGAGAGAGCAGTGGTTTACTTAATCACTGGGGCCCTTTTCAGAGTTTTGTCTTGTGTGCTGTGCTTTTTACCCAGCTCTGAGAGGGAGATGTTTGTGGGTACTAGGGTTTTGTTAGTCCCTCTCCCCTTTTTTAGTATAAGTGGCATGCTGGCAATAGACAAATACCTTCATAAAAAGCTGCTTCTAAATGAAATAATTACTACCTCCACTTGGGCATTATGATAATTATCAATAGAATATTGAATCAGCTTTGGTTTTTCAGAAAAAAAAAATCAAAACAAACCTTTCTTAAACAAGGAAGGTTTTATTTCAGGTCTCCAATTAGAGTAAACAAGCATCTGGGGCTTTTTCGTCTTGTTTTCTGTGTTAGGATTGTGAATACTAGTCTGCCATGGAAGGTTGTTAGTTACTTTCTATAATGTAGGCGGTTTCTGGGGATTGGAGACACGGATGGGAGGAAAGGGTCTGGATTCTTCTCTTCCCCACCTGCGTGTTTGATTTTCCCTTAGCCTCCCACCCTGTGCCCATGTGGCCCTTCTCTGATCTCTGTGCTTAGATGGCAGGGACCATAGGAGTTCATGTGTCCAGAGGTAACACTACCTGAGTCTGTGTGGTACTCAGAAGCTTCCAGTTCCTTATTAAAACGGGAAATTGAACAGTGAATTGTTACTGCCTACCAGATTTCACAGCAGGAGACTGTCATTACACCTTTCATTTGACTCAGAGAGAGTGTAACCATCAGAGGTCAGATTTCACTATTCTTTCGTTGCTTGGAAAATACACCCATTGTCAGCATTTTGAGTTATTAGGATTCCTCAAATGAAAAAAAAGGCAAACAATATATTTTGATAGATTGAAATCCACATTGTTGTGTGAAAATAGGGGAAGGAAAAAAGGAAGCCAATATTGTGTCAGAAAACAGAAAACTCTTGAGAATAACTCCTCTCTGACAACCCACCCCTCACCCTTGTAAAGGCTTCAATGTTATGCTTCCTGGAGCTTCTGGAAAATTCCCTTCATTTCTTTCTTAGAGGTGTGGTGGCAGCTCAGGTGGCCTAGGATTTGAAATGTGTGTCCCTAACTGGGGTGGTGCTGAGCTTGGGACCAGCTGGAGATGCTGGCTCGTTTATCACCTGCGATACACGGGGCTTTGCTTTTCTCCTCTTTCTCTTCTCCTGCCTCAACAGATAATGTTGAATTCTCTGCATAAGTATGAACCCCAGGTTCACATAGTGCGTGTTGGAAGTGCCCATCGAATGGTAATGAACTGCTCCTTCCCTGAAACCCAGTTCATAGCCGTGACTGCCTATCAGAATGAGGAGGTAAGAGTGTGTGTGTGTGTGTGTGTGTGTAACTGTCACCTGGGAGATCATGGCAAGATGGGAGGTGGGGGAGTCCTTTTAGATGAAAGGTAGTGTTTCCAGGATTTGGATACACTCAGCAGACATGAAGTTAAACAATGGAGTAGCTGCTCTCCCTCCCTCTTGCCTGTTTGCTAAAGGCTCACCAGCATGTGCTCTCCTGATGCCAACAAGGCACAGCTGTGTATTGTCATGAAACGCCTGAGTTCTGTTGAACCTCTGGAGTCTTTGTTGTCAGGCCCCTGTGTGCCCTTGGCCTGTGCAGAGTTGAGTGTGTCTTGAGTGGGTACAACTGGGCAGGGGCTGTCGGATCTCCTGCTCTAGAAGCAAGTCTGTAGCAAGTGATCCAAACGTGCACCCTCCCTTGGGTTTTGTGATGCTATCAATCCTGCTTGTTAATGTTCAATATCTGAGCGCAGTTCAGTCTGCTGCTGCCCAGTGACTTGAGCCGCCTGGCTGTGAGGGCTGAGTGGTTAGCGCCCGGCCTGTCTGTGAGCTGCTTTGGGTCCGTTCACATGCTTTGATGATTATCAGAAGAACCCAGAGAGGGTTGAATTCTTTTTGATTAAACTTTAAAAATGTTCTTTAAAGATAATATTTATTTATTTAACAACACATAATAAACTGACAGTACAGAAGTATATAAAGTAAACATGAAGACCATAAGGTAAAGCTGTACTGTTTTCTTCAATTTTGGAATCTCACTCCCCATGGACATGACGAAGAATAACTTAGAGTGTGTTTTTTTGACAAATTTTCTATGTATTTGTAAATATATATGTGAATGTAGATTTCCTCACATAAATTGGCTCATGTTGTATATATTATTAATCTGCAAATTTCTTTTTCTCCAGTTTAACAGTGTATTATGATTACCTTTCTAGGTAATTATACCTACATATATCTCCTTTTCTTTAATGCCTGCAGAATATTTTGTTGTATGAATACACTATTTCATGTAATCAGCCCCCCCACCAATGGACATTTAAGTTGTTTCCAACTGTTTTCTTTTCTTTTTTTCTTTTTCTTTTTTTTTGAGACAGAGTTTCACTCTTATTGTGCGGTGTGATCTCGGCTCACTGCAAACTCTGCCTTCTGGGTTCAAGTGATTCTCCTGCCTCAGCCTCCTGAGTAGCTAGGATTACAGGCACCTGTCACCACGCCTGGCTAATTTTTTTTTTTTTTTGAGTCAGAGTCTTGCTCTGTCGCCTAGGCTGGAGTGCAGTGGTGTGATCTTGGCTCACTGCAACCTCCGCTTCCCAGGTTCAAGTGATTCTCCTGCCTTAGCCTCCCAAGTAGCTGGGACTACAGGCGTGCACCACCACGCCTGGTTAATTTTTGTATTTTTAGTAGAGACGGGGTTTCACTATGTTGGCCAGGCAGGTCTCGAACTCCTGACCTCAGGTGATCCATCCGCCTCGGCTTCCCAAAGTGTTGGGATTACAGGTGTGAACCACCGCACCTAGCCCTTTATTTTCTATTATAAATAATGATGCAATGAATATCCTGGTGCATTTGTCATTTGCTGGCATGGGTGAATACCTAGAAACGGATAGATGTGGCCAAATTGCTTCCCTCAAAACGGCATCTCTATTTATAGCCCCCACACCACGATCAACACTATTATCAATCTTTGTCATCTTTGACACTCTGATAGGTTAAAAAAAATAAGATCTTGGCCGAGTGTGGTGGTTCATTTCTATAATCCCAGCACTTTGGGAGTCGAAGGCGGGCAGATCATGAGATCAAGAGTTCCAGATCAGCTTGGCCAACCTGGTGAAACCCCGTCTCCACTAACAATACAAAAATTAGCTGGGCACAGTGGCGGGCACCTGTAATCCCATCTACTTGGGAGGCTGAGGCAAGAGAATTGCTTGAACCTGGGAGGTGGAGGTTGCGGTGAGCTGAGATTGTGCCACTGCATTCCATCGTGGGTGACAGAGCAAGACTCGGTCTCAGAAAAAAGAAAAAAAGAGAAGATCTTGCTGTTGCTTCCATCTGTATTTATTTGGAAGCTTTACAGACAGATTTTGGCCTGACACTCACCCAGCCAACTGAGTCAGAATCTCCAAGGATGATGCTCAGAATCTGTAGATTTTAAAGTCTCCCCAGAGGATTCTATTGAGCATCCAGGTTTGGAAACTACTGTCTTAGTGCCTACAGGTGAAATGAAGTTGCAGATTTAACTCACATCACAGATGTGCAGAGAAAATGTCATTTCTATAAGTAAATGGGCCTCTTGGCAGAGCCCCTGCAGCTGGCCAATGGGAACAGAAATGAACTAGCTAATAACGTAAACAGTCCCTCAACTGGTGACCAGTCTTTTGATGATAAAGTAAATCCATTTTGCAGATAGCCCTCTCTCCCAGCTTTTCTCCCTGGGCTGGAGTCTGGGTCTATGAGGGGAAGTGGGTCTTTGTAACTGGGTCTTTGTAACTCTGGGAAGTGGGTGGTCGGGGGTGCATGTGGAGTTGGAGACTATGTCCTAACCTTCTCTGGTCTTCAGGCAAGGCCCTTGCCCACTTGTGTGCTGTTGGCTTAGCTGGTGGTGTGTGGAACTTGTCATTTGGCTGCTGACTTGGTGAACCCTCAGAAGCTTTCCCTGGCTGCAGGTGCGGGACAGTTCTCTCTGAACCACCTGACTGGTCGTTTTTGACCCATCCAGCAATCTCTCAGCCTGACTTGTTACTTCTGGGTCTTGAACATGCCCCATGGCAATCAAGCTCTGGAAAGCCTAGCCCCAGCACCTCCCTCTGTCAACAAAGCTTCCCTGCCAAGTCCACGCAGACGCATCCCAGGTGGCGAGTGGGCGTGGGGGTGGGTGAAGGAGGCCAATGTCTCCTCTGCACCCCCTGCTAGCTTCATGTATGCTTTTCTACCTCTCCAGGTTTAAGCCAAGAGAAAGACTAGGTTGTACCTATCTGACCCCATACCTCCTTTTCTTCTTTCTCCTGATTTCTTCTCACAAGTTCTGGGCCAAAAGGAGTTGGGCGCTGTATTAGTTCATTTTCCTGCTGCTAATAAAGACATACCTGAGACTGGGTAATTTATAAAGAAAAAGAGGTTTAATGGACTCACAGTTCCACATGGCTGGGGAGGCCTCACAATCATGGTAGAAGGCAAAAGACACATCTTACATGGCGGCAGGCAAAGAGAATGAGAGCCAAGAGAAAGGGGAAACCCCTTATAAAACCATCAGATCTTGTGAGACTTATTCACTACCATGAGAACAATATGGGGAAACTGCCCTCATGATCCAATTATCTCCCACCAGGTCCATCCCACAACATGTGAGAATTATGGGAGCTACAATTCAAGATGAAATTTGGGTGGGGACATAGCCAAACCATATCTGGGTCTTACTTTGCTTTCCTTCTTCCATCAAGTCTCAGATCCTTGCTGATATAAATATTCTGTATACTGGGTATGGTGGCTCATGTCTGCAATCCCAGCACTTTGGGAGGCTGAGGCAGGCAGATCACCTGAGGTCGGGAAGACCAACCTGGCCAAAATGGCAAAACCCTGTCTCTACTAAAAATATAAAAATCAGCTGGGTGTGGTGGCAGGCACCTCTAATCCCAGCTACTCGGGAGGCTGAGGCAGGAGAATCACTTGAACCCAGGTGGCGGAGGTTGAAGTGAGCCAAGATGGAGCTACTGCACTGCAGCCTGAGAGCAAGACTCCTGTCTCAAAAAAAAAAAATATATATATATCTATAAAAAAAATATATAAAATATATATCTATTCTCTAAATATTTATTTACTCAACAAATATTTGCTGGGCTTTAATACATGCTGGATATTGTTCTAAATGCTGGAAATACTGCAATGAATAAAACAGATGAATACCCTGTCTTCAAGGCACTTACATCCCAGTGGGGAGAGATGAAAAATAAATATTTCTCTGTTTCTATCTCTTTATCTCTATCATGATGACTATCTATCTATATGTCAGATGTCTCTAATGAGAAATGAAACAGGCTCAGGCTAAGGCAGATAAAGAGAGTGACAGTGAATGGGGGTGATAGTTTGCTTTTTGTATTGACACGGCCCCATGTGTAAGCTGTTATTTATGAATAAGGGACTCGATGCTAGACGGCACTCTCCCAGAGGGCCAGGATCACACCTGTGCTGCTCTCCACTGTGTTCCAAGTGACTAGATAAGTAAATCACACGTAGTAGGGGATCAAGGATTGTTGAAAAAAATAAATAAATGAGTAAAAAATGAATGCTAGGCTTCACACATCAGGGCTTTGCTTATTTCCAGTGCTTTGCCCTTTCTTTTCTCACTTTACATGGCATTAGCATTTTCACCACATGCAATGATAAAATGTCCTTTGCCAGAGACAGTGCAATGGTGATTAAGTGCTGGAGTAAGCAAAGGTGCAAAGGGCCTCTGCCTCTCAGAGTGCTGGGATTACAGGCGTAAGCCACCATGCCTGGCAGGAAAGGGAAGGAAAAGAGAGGGAATTAACCTGGTTTTACAGAAGACAAAGGGTTCTGTCTGCCTATGTGTATCCTACTCTTACTAACACTTCTTGTCTTTGTAAATGCAAGATAACAGCTCTCAAAATCAAGTACAATCCTTTTGCCAAAGCCTTCTTGGATGCCAAGGAAAGGTAAGTAGAGAAATTTTAGTGAAATCTTCTAATGAATGGTTTATGCAAATACAAATGTGGAATTTATGATTATCTTGAAAGGAACTAGACCAGTAGCACTTGCATTACCTTTGATAGAAATATGTTTCCTTGGCCGGGCGTGGTGGCTCACGCCTGTAATCTCAGTACTTTGGGAGGCCGAGGTGGGTGGATCAGGAGGTCAGGAGATCGAGACCATCCCGGCTAACACAGTGAAACCCCGTCTCCACTAACAATACAAAAATTAGCCGGGTGTGGTGGCGGGCGCCTGTAGGCCCAGCTACTCAGGAGGCCGAGGCAGGAGAATGGCATGAACCCAGGAGGCGGAGCTTGCAGTGAGCCGAGATCGTGCCCCTGCACGCCAGCCTGGGTGACAGAGCCAGACTCCGTCTCAAAAAAAAAAAAAAAGAATGTAGAAATATGCTTCCAATATTCAATTCAATATTCAACAACATCTAGAAAATTCAAATCATAATTATCTATTCCTTATAATAGGGGTCCAGGAGAACTGTTAACTAACAATGTGTTTTGTTTTTTTTTTTAAAGACCTGTTTTACTACAGATTTTTGAAAGTAGCACAATCACATTAAAAAAATTAAATGATTTAGATTTATAATAATTCACTCTGCCTTTTTCCTAATTACTTCTGAGTAGCATGACTTAATATATTGCTTTTTAAAAAGTACACTTAGCCTAGGAAAAGTGAAAAATGGGGAGAGGTTCACATTTCCTGTGCTGAGAAAAGGAGTCAGAGACTTCTGGGGGTATGAGTGATGATTCCGCTACTTTGGGTCAGCGACCTGCCATCTCTATATCTTTTCTTTCTTTCCCCCTCCCCTCCCCTCCCCTCCCCTTCCCTTCCCTTCCCTTCTTCCTTCCTTCCTTCCTCCCTTTCTTCCTTCATTCTTTCCTTCTTTCTTTTCTTTGGAGACAGAGTCAGGCTGGAGTGCAGTGACACTATCTCTGCTCACTGCAACTTTTGCTTCCTGGGTTCAAGCGATTCTCGTGTCTCAGCCTACCTAGTAGCTGGGATTACAGGTGCCCACCACCACGCCCAGCTAATTTTTTATTTTTTGTTTTCAGTGGAGACAGGGTTTCACCATGTTGGCCAGGCTTGTCTTGAATTCCTGACCTCAGGAGATCCACCCGCCTCGGCCTCCCAAATTGCTGAGATTATAGGCTTGAGCCACCGTGTTCAGCCTCTGTGTGTTTTCCATCCCAGGAAAAAGAAGATTATGGTGCTCATCATTGACTTTTTAATTGACAAACCCTACAGTATAAATATGATTATCTTTTTAATGTTCAGATTTTATTGCTTGAGTTTCAAATCTTTTAAATAGTTTAAAAACTGTCTAATCTTTCCTGTTCACCTTAAAGGCTCTGATAAGGCTCTACATAAATGGACGGATGTTCATAATGATGCATCACAGGACCCTGTCCTGTCCAATATTTGAATACGTTATTATTATTATTTTAGAGATGGGGTCTTGCTCTGTCATCCAGGCTGGAGTACAGTGGTGTGATATAGCTCACTGCAGCCTTAAATTCCTGAGCTCAAGCTATCCTCCTGCCTCAGCCTCCGAAGTAGTGGGGACTACAGGCATGTGCCACCATGCCTGGCTATGTGGTTTTGTTTTTCGTTTGTTTGTTTGTTTTTAAGAGATGGGAGTCTCAGTATGTTGACCAGACAGTCTCAAACTCCTGGCCTCAAGTGATCCTCCTGCCACAGCCTCTTTAGTTGCTGAGATTACAGGAGTGAGTTACTGTGCCTAGCTCCAATATTGGAATAAATTATGATGATATACAAGACACGCTTATAACATTTTCAGTTAACAAAAGGCCTAAAGGATAAACTGACATGTGACATGACAGAATCTAGATTCAAAGTGACAGTAGCGTGGTATAATACAAAGAATTTGGGACTTTGAGTAAGAGATCCTGACTGAATCCTTGCTCTGTAATTTACTGGCTGTTTCTTCTTGCATAAGTCAGTTTACCTCCTCGAGATCCACTTTTCTAATCTACAAAATTAGAAAAATATGTTAATACTTCCCTCACAGAGTCATTGGTGGATCTAGCATATCACATATGTAATTGTGCCCTGGAATTGTGCTGTTATTATTGCTTGAATCTTGTCAGTCAGGAACAATATCCCCAAATTATTCAGATAAAAACAAAAACCAAGAAACAAAAAACAGGGATAGCTGTTAATATGGTAAAGAGGGGTAAACAGTAAAACTGGAACTCCAAGAGCAATTGCACAGGTAGAGACAGCACCCTGAAGGAAGGAGAATGGGAAAGGACAGGAGCGTAGGGAAAAAGGTGTTTGGTTTTCTTATTCTAAGAAATTGATTGCTCTTCAAGGAGAATTTTGGGTATGCTTTATGGTGGACACACATAAAAAGTTGGACAACTGTGGTGCATTTTCTTTCCTCTTTCAGAAATCACCTAAGAGACGTACCGGAGGCTCTCTCTGAAAGCCAGCATGTGACCTGTTCTCACTGTGAGTTTGGTGTACACGAGGCGGGAGGTTCATGTACTTGGGGCTGTACTTGGAGCCAATTCCCTCCACACTCAGACTCTTTGCCTGTCAGGACTGCTTAAGGTCTCTTCCAAATCAAAACCCAATACACTGTTTATTCTATTAAGGACAAATTTATGCCCTTTCCAGAATTTCCAGAGAGAGGGCCAATGGTCCTAGGCTTAAGGGTCTTAAAAAAGTCTTAGGCAGGAGATAAGAATGAAAATGATGAATTTCTTAGACTCTGGGTTTCATGTCAGTGAGGCGCTGAAGCCTCAACAGTGTGTCCTTGGCCTGCCTCCTAACTTTATGCTCGCCACTCTGGTGTTTTGGAGTTCTGCCGTTCTTAGTGTTTGCTAATTTTGGAGTTGGTCCCCATAGCAATGTGTCACGCAGGCTGTAGCCTCCGTGGGGAAGAGTCTTTATTTGTGGGCTGGAAGGCTGTAGGAAGAGGTAAAGTCATATCGCTGGGATTCTGCAGGGAGTGTTGAATGTTCCCATCAGCGTGTTACCTTGTCCATGTCCCAGGATGGCGGAGGGAATCCTCTGCAGCTGCAATGCAACCCACGGTCAGTGACATCAGAGTAGGAAAGTTAACCCTGGTGTCTGAAACCCTCTTTAATTCGGATTATATTGGCTTGCAAAGAACCCTTATGCAGTTTGCCAGCTGCGGAGTTCTTTACTTCTTCCTTCCCTTCAATCTTAGTGCACCTTCCATACCAGACCTGGGAGTATAGCCGCATAAAGAGAAGCAGCTCTCAGAAAAGCACTCTTTTTTTTTTTTTTTGAGACAGACTTTCACTGTTGCCCAGGCTAGAGTGCAATGGTGCAATCTCAGCTCACCGCAACCTCTGCCTCCGGGGTTGAAGCGACTCCTCTGCCTCAGCCTCCTGAGCAGCTGGGACCATAGGCACGCACCACCACGCCTGGCTAATTTTTGTATTTTGAGTAGAGACGGGGTTTCACCACATTGGCCAGGCTGGTCTCGAACTCCCGACCTTGTGATCCGCCTGCTGCAGCCTCCCAAAGTGCTGGGATTACAGGCGTGAGTCACTGCGCCTGGCCGAAAAGCACTCTTTAAAAGTGACTGTCAACCTAAATGAAAAAACTGAGGCAACATTAATGTAAGTAGAAAGTTTATTTGGGCCAAGTTTGAGGACTACAACTTGGGAGCAGATTCAAGTTCCCCTGAATATATGCTTGGATTAGCAGCAGTTACAAGTGGGTTTTTAAAGGAAAAAGAAGAGACGATTCATAAACTGTTTACTGTAACATGAGCTTTTGATTGGTTATACATTGTTCTTTGTATCACACATTCCAGGAACATGAAGATAATGGGTGAGGCAGCTAGTCAGGAACAAAAATGCCCTTAAAGAATCGCCCCCGGGCATGGGTGCAGGGAGTGCCCTTGACTGAAGGTGCTCCTCACACTCACATCCCTCTGGGCCTGATACATTTTGCATGCCTCACGTAACTCAGACTGCTCTGAGCTAGTTTTCATTTATCATTTCCCCCTCAGTTTTTTCCTTTAGGTGGAATGAACTGGAATAAAAACCTTGTTGTGTAGGTTAGGCCCATGTGCAGAACCACTGGAGTTCAAAGTTCATGTGTTCCAATCTTCTCAGCAAACTTCTTGACGTGTGTACGTCATATGTGGCAAAGTTAGCGGTTCTGAGGGGCTTGCCCACTGGGTGCCTGCATCTCGATTCTGTTAGTCAGATAGGGACCCCTTGGGTCATAAGTTTGTGCAACTCGGGGGGAATGAAGATGACAAAAGGATTTGTTGGGAATGTTTGTAATATGAACTCTGTACAATTTGTTTACTTGTATTTAAAAAGTATTAAGCAAAGACAGTGGGTTCTAATATCAAGCTCCATTTCCTCATTGCTGAAGCCCAGGTGACAATCCTTCGTCAATGTTCTTAAGGAACAGCTCTGGTCCTATCTGAATCGCTATCCGTTGATCCCTCAGCTGAGGCACCGTCCGTGGGAGAACATGCTTCTTGTTTCGGGACCTGCATTACGAAGTCTCAGTCTTTGCCCATGAACTCACTCGAAATGGTCTTCTGTTCAGAATCTTTCTACAAAACATTTTGCAGTTGTCCAAAATATTCTGCAAAATGCTTGCTGCCTGTCAGTAAATAAGTGGAATGAAAAAGAAGAAAAAAGGGGGAAAAAAAACCAAACACAAACCAAAATGCTTGCTGTCAAGATGTGCTAGACCAGCTCCCCCTTTCTGTGCTGCCAGAATTCTGTTTGTGGGGTGGGGTTGGGAGGCATCATGATTCCTCTTGCTTAGAGTAAGAACTGAAAGCACCTTCCCACTTGGCAGAAATAGAGAGGCTTTCACTCTTCCTGGGTAACCACATTAATCATTCCCTACATTCCCTGGTAGCTGTAGGTCCATGAGCTACATATATGTGTAATGCCTCCTAGACTGACTTTTACTTTAATTAAGCCAGAAGCACCTTAAGTTTGCATTTCTATTAACTTCTGCATTCAGATCGTATTTCGTATAGCTATATTCCAGTGTTGCTTCAGAGGTTTTCTACCCTTCGATGGAGTCCTTTGATAGGACTGTAACCACCCGATAGGTTCTTCCTGCTGGTTGCACAAAAAGATGTTACTGGGAAGGGGTCCTGATCCAGACGCCAACAGACGGTTCTTGGACCTCAGGCAAGAAAGAATTCGGGGCGAGTCCACAGAGTAAAGTGAAAGCAAGTTTATTAAGAAAGTAAAGGAATAAAAGAATGGCTACTTCATAGAATGAACGGAGGCATGGGCTGCTCAACTGAGTATATTTATAGTTACTTCTTGTTTTTATTGCTATACAGGGGGTGGATTATTCATGAGTTTTTCAGGAAAGGGGTGGGCAATTCCCATAGCTGAGGGTTGGTTCCTCCCCTTTTTAGACCATATAGGGTAACTTCCTGACACTGCCATGGCATTTGTAAACTGTCATGGCACTCACAGGAGTGTCTTTTCGCATTCTAATGCATTATGATTCGCATATAAAGAGCAGTGAGGATGACCAGAGGTCACTTTCATTGCCATCTTGGTTTTGGTGGGTTTTGGCTGGCTTGTTCACCGCATCCTGTTTCATCAGCAAGGTCTTTGCTGTATGTTGTCCTCACCTCCTATTTTATCCTGTGACTAAGAATTCCTAACCACCTGGGAATGCAGTCCGGTAGGTCTCAGCCTCACTTTACCCAGCTCCTATTCAAGTTGGAGTCACTCTGCTTCAAACACCTCTGACACAAAGACCGCAGCATTCAATAAAGAAAGAGTTTAATAGACATGAGTCTGGCCATGCCATGTGGGGGACAGAGCTCTCACTCAAATCAATCTCATCAAAAACTTACAGGTTAGGTTACCTTTTTCAAAGGTAATTTCAGGGAAGAAGTGGGGGTAGGTAGGCAATAGGTGCTTGCTGCTGACTGGTTGGATCGGAGATGAAATCACAGGGAATTGAAGCTGTCCTCTGGTGCTGAGTCACTTCTGGGTGGGGCCACAGGTAGGGTTAGTGGGTCCAGGTGGAGCCACTGCTGTCAGATATACCAAAAACCTGAAAAGATATCTCTGAAGGCCTATCTGAGGTTCTACAATAGTGATGTAATCTGCAGGAGTAATTGGAAAAGTTGCCTGTCTGGAATAATGGCTGGCAATCATATGTGTCTACACATTAGCAGAATTCAGGCTCCTCTGTGCTCCTAACCTGGTAGTCTTTCATTTGCTTTACAAAGGCAGTTGAGTTTTAGAGAAGGGTTACTATTATTTAAACTATAAGCTAAATGTCTTCCAAAGCTAGCTTGGCAGCTTGAAGGCTAAAGGCAAGAGGGAGATTGGGTAGATCGGATCTCTCTGACTGCCATAATTTTCTCACTGATACAATTTTTGCAAAGGCAGTTTCAGGACTGGTCATGCATTTCCAGAGAAGCCAAGTTACCTGCTCATGGGCAAGGGCAGTGGCAGCCGGGGGATGGTACCAACACACAAGCTGGCATCAGTGTCATTTACAAGAATTGTAGTTGTATAAAGTAGCTGGTCACCTGATTTTTGGTGTGGGAGTTCACAGACTCAGTCTTGGTGTCTTCCTCTTGTCTATTTTAGTGGGAGGCTGGATCTTTTCCAATCCGGAAGGAGTGTGCACAGCAGGAAACTCCAATTACCAGTATGCCACTCCTCTGCCTCTGCCTGCTCCCCACACCCACCATGGCTGTGAGCACTATTCGGGCCTCCGAGGACACCGGCAGGCTCCCTACCCTTCTGCATACATGCATAGAAACCATTCTCCCTCAGGTCTGTGACTCTGCTGATTAAACTCTTGGGGTATGAGCTGGGGCCGGGGCAGCTGGGAGAAATGGATAAACAGCTAGGAAAAGGAGTAGCTAAAGATGGAACCCTTTTCATCTAATATACATCTATGATATTATTGTTTTTATGGTTTTTTTGTTATTTTATGTACAAATATTTGATTAACTAGGTATAACAATCTTAGTTTTTTGTTTTTTTTTTTTAGTTATTTCATAAAACCCACAGTCTTCTGGTTTCTAATGGGCATGAAAGGCCAGGACACTGGTGTTCTGAGCAGTTCAGGCAGATCTCTAAAAGCCACGTCAAGTTGTGTGGGTCTGAAACACTCACCTTCATGTGGCTCCTTTCTATGGTTGCATTCATGGCTCAGTTCAGGGAATACTGGGTCTAGTGTTAGGGAGCTACTAGGAAGGTCTCTGGGGAGCTGGATCCCTGTATGTTCAGGCCTTAGATGGATTCAGTTGGAGACATGCAAACCCAACCTTAATATTTTAAAATAATTTTTGCTGTCCGACTGTTTTTTTAAGTTAGCAGTATTGTTTGTGTGCTTTTTTCTCATTGACTACTGCCTTTTCCACCTTTGTCTTATGTAGACCCAGTCCTTGCCTGGTTATTAGATTTGTAGAAAGAAGGGAGAAATGAAAACAATGGTTACTTTTTCATTAAATTATTCATGCAACAAATATTTATTGAGGATCGACTATATGCCAGGCTCTGTTTCAAGTACAGGAATGAAATGGACACATGCCCTGCCCGTTTGGAGATTCTATACTAATATGAAGAGATTGACACTCAATAAAACAAGCAAAGTTCATGGCATGGGAGATAGTGGAGAGTATTTGGATTCCAGCCTCCTTCCTTCCTCGGTGACACCCTGAGCTCTGCATTTGTAGAGGGTCCTCCTGGTCACCAGCTACCTGTCCCTGTGTCCCTTAGCCTGCTACCCTTGGCAACCTCAACCATTGCTGCCAGGAGGGGGGATTATGTAGCTTATCAGTAGCAGAAACTGATCTGTGGCTCGCTCTACCTCCTTGTTCTTTCCTGCGGTCAGCATCAAATCACATCTTCTGAGCACCTACTGCGTACCATGTTCTTCTAGGCAGTGGGATAGGAAAGTGATTAAGACATAGCTTCAGGGCCGGGTGTGGTGGCTCACGCCTGTAATCCTAGCACTTTAGGAGGCTGAGGCGGGCAGGTCACAAGGTCAGGAGTTCGAGACCAGCCTGGCTAACATGGCAAAACCCGGTCTGTACTAAAAATACAAAAATTAGCCAGGCGTGGTGGCGGGCACCTGTAATCCCAGCTATTTGGGAGGCTGAGGCAGGAGAATCGCTTGAATCTAGGAGGTGGAGGCTGCAGTGAGCCAAGATCGTGCCACTGTACTCCAGCCTGGGCAACAAGAGCAAGATGCCATCTCAAAAAAAAAAAAAAAAAAAAAGACATAGCTTCTTCCCTGGAGGAGCTCGGGGTTGCACAAATATGTAAATAACGAATCCTAATATAATGCAGAAGCATCACCTGGGAACTTGTCAGAAATGTAGACTTTCAGGCTCTACTCCTGAATCAGGGTCTGCATTTTAACAAGATCTCCAGGGGATTCATAAGTGCTCTAGAGTTTGAGAAACGGCCAACAAAACACACAAGTCAGGGTGCCATGGGAATGAAGGAAAAAGAGCAGCTGGATATGCCTGGTGGGGCAGCAAAGGCTGCCCAGAGGGGTTAACATTTAAATTGAGCCTTGAAAGATGAATAGAAAAGGACAGAGTGAGAGTGGGCAGGGGTAAAAGGTGGAGGATGGCATGTGCCACAGGCAGAGGCGCAGGACATTCCAGGTAGAGAGAGTGGGCTGAGCAAAGACACAGAAGGGGGAGAGACCCTAGGTTGTCTGGGAATAGCTTTGGAGCAGAATGTAGGGGGAGTGCGGACAGATGGAAAATGCAAGAGTTAGGGCTGGAGAGCTTGCAAATGCCAGATCGTAAAAAGAAGAGACATGGGCAGGTGTCCTAGTCCCCTTTGTGGTGCTATAAGAAAACACTTGAGATAGGGTAATTTATAAGCTGTGGAAATTTATTTTCTCATAGTCCTGGAGGCTGGGGAGTTGAAGATTAAGGTGCCAGCATATGGTAAGGGTCTTCTGGCTGTATTATAATGTTGCAGAAGGCCTCACACGGATAGTCAGGGAAAGAGAGGGGGAGAGGGCAGGAGGCTAAACCCATCCTTTTATCAGAAACCCACTCCTGCAATATTGGCATTAGCCCATTCACGAGGGTAGAGCCCCCACGGCCTAATCACCTCTTAAAGGCCCCACCTCTCAACACTGTTGCATTGGGAGTTAAGTTCCCAACACATGAACGTTGGGGGACACATTCAAACCATAGCACCAGAGATAGACATTGGAATCTTCCTTCTCTCTCCTTTCTCCCCCCTTTCCCTTCCTTCCTCCCCCCTTTCCCTTCCTTCCTCCCTCCCTCTGCCTTCTTCCTCTCTCTTATATATACACTATTTATGCAAATAGAGATTCAAAGAAATGGAAGACATTCTTCTTTTTCCCCTCTATAAAAACTGTGTATATTTAAGGTGTACAACATGATGTTTTGATATAATATGCATAGTGAAGTGATTACTGCTGTCGGGCAAATTAACATGTCCATCTCCTCACATAGTTACTGTTTTTCATGATGAAAGCACCTGAAATCTACTCTCTTAGCAAATTTCCAGTACACAGTACAGTATTACTAACTATAGTCTTCAGATTGTAAGTTAGATCTCTAGACTTACTCATCCTACATAAATGCAATTTTACATCCTTTGACCAATATCTCATTTCCCCAGCTTCCCACCCCTGGTAACCACTGCTGTACTCTCTGCTTTTATGTATTCAACTTTAATCTTACAGTCCACATATAAGTGAGATCATACAATCTACTTCTTTTTATAAAAAGGTATGATTTTTTTTCTTTTTTTTAACTGTAGAGATGGTGTCCTTCTGTGTTGCCCAGAAAGTTCTCAAATTCCTGGCTCAAGGGATCCCCCTGCCTTGGACTCCCAAAGTGCCAGGATTACAGGTGTGAGCACCACACCTGGTCAAAAGGCACTGTGCTTGAGATATTTAAACCTTCTAGGGGATGGTTGAGAAGAATAAGTTCCTGGACCTCAGAAATCTCATCTGGGGCACTGGTGGCCCTTAGGCTTAGCTTGAGGGGAGGCTGGTATGGTCCCTTCTTAAAAGAGAGTGACTGTGGTGAAATGAGTTAGACAGATCGGTGATACCCAGGGCAAATAATCCTACCACCCTGAGGCTTGTCTATAAGATGGAGTTAAGGAGTCACTGGTGTGAAGATTAACCTAAGAATGACACCTGGCATATGGTCAACATTCAAGAAACCTACGTTTCTTTTTATTTTCTATTTCCCTGAGAAAGAACTAACAAACTGTTGGTGCCTGTAGTGCAAGCCATGGTTATATTTTGCCTTAGGATAATGTCACTGGTCACCATCTTTATGTTTTCTACATTTGCTATCAATTCAACTGTTGTTATTTCCCCAAAGTGAATTTGATAGAAAGCTCAAGCAATAATCTGCAAGTTTTCTCGGGACCTGACAGCTGGACATCCTTATCCTCCACACCTCATGCCAGCATCCTGTCTGTACCCCACACCAACGGACCAATCAATCCAGGTCCCAGGTAAGACCAACACCATCAGCTCGCTCATTGGTGGTCTTAGGGGTTTACTTTAGCACTGGGGACTCAAGTTCATTCTGTTTCCTAGGGTGGCTTGGTCTAACCTATTGTCTTGACTTCTAAACCACTAAGAAGTCAAGGTAGCAACAGGATGGAGTTCTTTCATAATTGGAGAAACAGCTCAGTCATATCCCATTTCTTATATTTAAAAGGATAGCCAGGGCATGGTGGCTTATGCCTGTAATCCCAGCATTTTGGGAGGCTGAGGCAGGTGGATCACCTGAGGTCAGCAGTTCGAGACCAGCCTGGCCAACATAGTGAAACCCCCGTCTCTACTAAAAATACAAAAACTAGCTGGGCATGGTGGTGTGTGCCTGTAATCCTAGCTACTCGGAAGGCTGAGGCAGGAGAATCGCTTGAACCTGGGAGGCGGAGGTTGCAGTGACCTGAGATCGCGCCATTGCACTCCAGCTTGTGCAACAAGAGTGAAACTCCGTCTCAAAAAAAAAAAAAAAAAAAAGAGATAGACATTATGGCCGGGGATCATTTGTCTTAAACCAGTCAGAAACACTTTAAACTATGGTGGTAGCAAATAGATACTGACTGTAGAGGAATTGAAGAGGAAAAGTATAAACATACACTGAGAAGTCAAGACCCACTATTGTCCACTTTCCCCTGAGTCACCCATCCTAAAAGGGGGACATATTGTGGATGCCTGGTCTCACAACCCTGGTAAGAGGGCTAAGTATAGCATGGAGGACCCCATGGTTTAGTCCTCACACCAGCGACCTGCATTAAGTTCTGACTTCTAGAAATCTGAGTGGTAAAGTGGGAAGAGAAAGCCCCTTTGAGTCTGACAGGCAGGGGTTTGAGTCCCAGTTCTACCTCAGTAGTGACTTTGTGGCTTTGGGCAATTTTCTTAACCTTACTGAGCTTCAGCTTTCTTATTTCTTTCATGGAAATAATATGACCTACTTTGTAGAGTTACCATGAGCATCAAATGCAGAAATTAGAAAATGCATTAACATGCTTTGTAAGCAGTAATATTCTGTGTAAATGTCAGCTATTATGTTCAATATGGTTATGCAGAATTTTGAGAAGGTCCAAAGTGGAATCAAAATTAAAAGATGAGACTTGGCTGGGTGCAGTGGCTCACACCTGTAATCCCAGCCCTTTCGGAGGCCAAGGCAGGTGAATCCCCTGATTTGAGACCAGCCTGACCAACATGGTAAAATCCCGTCTCTACTAAATATACAAAAATTAGCCGGTTTGATGGTGCATGCCTATAATCCCAGCTACTTGGGAGGCTAAGGCAGGAGAATCACTTGAACCCAGGAGGCAGAGGTTGCAGTAAGCTGAGGTACTGCACTCCAGCTTGGGCAACAAGAGTGAAACTCTGTCTCAAAAAAAAAAAAAAGAAATGGATTGGATTTGGGAAGACATCAGATGACTTATGATTTGTAAGTCTAGAATAAGGAGAATGTGATGCTTAGAATCACCTGGGGTTGTTGTTAAAATGCAGAATCTGATTGGTAGGTCTGGGTGGGGGCCTGAGATTCTACATTTCTACCAAGTTTCCTGGGGTGTGCTGATATAGCAGGGCTATAAAGCTGTGCTGTACAGTGCGTAGCACTGTGGTTGTCAACACTTGAAATGCAGCTAGTCCAAGTTGAGATACATTGTGAGTGTAATACCCACAGGATTTTGAAGATTTAGTGTGAAACAAAGAATAAATACCCAATTTTTTATATATACCACAATATATACTACTATATTATATATTTTCATATTTAAATATATAGTATGTATATTATGTTGAATATATTCAAATATATAGTATATGTTTTATATATTATATTTAAAAAACACCCATTTATATTTTATATATGTCATATATAAAATATATACTATATATTTTAATATATATTAAATTTAATATATAAATATATAAATATATATTTAATATATATTATATTTAAAATAACAAATATATAAATATATACAAATATAATAGTATATGTAAATATAGATGTTATGTTAATATTGTGATAGAAATATATACATATATAATATATATATTTACATCAAATGCATGTTGAAATGATAATATTTGGAATATTTTGGTTAAATAAAATGTTAATAAATTTATTAATATTTTTCTAAATGTGGCTACTAGAGAATTTAAACTTACATATGCAGCTGGCATTTATGGTTTGCATTTTGACACTGATCTAGAGCATCATTTGTATTTGACACTGATCTAGAGGATCTGAGGGAAAAGGATTGATTTGGGCTGTGGTAGAAAGTGAAAAAGAAAATGAAGATGAGGGTTCCTGAAGATATTAAATAATCATGTGCCAAGTTGTATACTGGATACTTACATATATATAAGTCATCCATATATAAGTCATCTGTAGTACTCAAAGACAACTATCAGCAGTAAGCAGTACAGCTCAGAGCCCATAGTTCTCCCATTGGCCCAGGCGGCATCAGAAAGGGTCTGTAAGAGATAATGTAGAAGAGCATCTTCTGAAGATTAGGGCCAGAATCCCCATAAGCTGAGCTAGCTCAGAGGGAGCTCAGAGGATGGGCTACTGCAGGTTTCATATGGTCCAAGGAGGCCTGTAGCACTGAAAAATGGCACCAGGTGAATGATGGCATTGCCAACTCTGGCTTCTCTGTTGGTGTGTTTAACTAATTCCTGACTCCATAAATATTTTGTTAGAAACAAAACAAAACAAATGTATTCAATATTGCCTTTGGATAATAAGCCCATTCTCAAGCAATATTATTGGGCAATGCAGAAACTCTGAAATGTAAGAAATGTAGTGATGACTAAAGGCTGAAAACATTGGGATCATTGCACCTGTTCCAACTGCATCTATATTAAGCTGCAAGCTTGGCTGTACATTACAATCACCTGGGAAACTTAAAAAAATCCTCATACTCAGGCTGCATGCCAGATCAGTTCAATCAGAATCTCTGGGGCAACGGAGTGGGGTGAGAGTGGGACCCAGGCAGCAATATTACTTTTAAAAACTCCCTGAGTGATTCCAATGTGCCGAATGTGCAACCATGTGTGTGAACCAGTGCTATAGAACTAGAGAAGGCAAAGAGAGTGTTCTAGCTCTCAGCCTTTCTGCCAGGCACCAGAGATCACAGGTGGAGACCAGGAATGGAAGAAATAATGATAACAACCACCATTTACTGAGTACTACATGCTAAGGACCATATTCTTCTCCTATTTAATCCTTGTAGCAATCTCTGTAAGGTAGGTAAAATTATGACACCACATCTTGAAGATGAGAAAACTGACACTCAGAGATGTTAAATAATTTAGCCAAGGCCACAGAGCTAATAAGTGGTAGAGCTGGGATTTAAACTCAAGTCTTCTGACAGTGATGTTTCCTGGTTATTATGCCACATTGGCCAGGGAGAGATCAGATGCAGCAATCATACAGTTTTAATACCTTTTTTCTACTGCCCTGCCAATTTTACATAGGCTGCAAGGGAGCCCAGACAAATGAAATTCTGTGTCTAAAACCAAATAACTCACTGGTGGCAGGGCCAGTACCAGAATACTTAATGTTATCATCATTCCACCATACTTTGCTGTTTCTCTTAGCTTTTCTGCAGAAACAGGACTAATCTGTGTCACAGCTACAAATAAAGCCATGGCCAGAAGCCCTCTTGTAACTTCTCAGTGCTATGTGCGTGCTTGTCAGGCGGCACTCCTTCCTTGGAGTGCCATTGAACATTCCCTTCCCCTCTTTCTCTGTCTCTGCAGCCCCTATCCGTGCCTGTGGACCATCAGCAATAGTGCCGGGGGCCCCACTGGGCCAGGCCCGGAGGTGCATGCCAGCGCCCCAGGAGCATTTCTCCTCGGAAACCCAGCTGTGACTTCACCCCCGTCTGTGCTCTCCACCCAAGCACCCACTTCGGCTGGTGTGGAGGTTCTGGGGGAGCCCTCGCTAACCAGCATTGCTGTGTCCACCTGGACAGCAGTGGCCTCGCATCCCTTTGCGGGCTGGGGTGGCCCAGGAGCGGGTGGGCACCATTCTCCTTCCTCATTGGATGGTTAAGCAGGATCCTAGGAGCCTCTATCCACAGAGATCCTTCTATGTGTAGAGCGCTTAGAAACCCCATCTACTGATCTAGTGAGTCAGACTGTGGAATCTCCCTTCCCACTAGCTGGAGGCGGAGGTGAGTTATTACAGAAGTCATACTGGGAAAGGGTTCAGTTTGGATGATGCTAGTTATGTCAATTGCATCTCTCCACCATTTTCTTCTGCACTCCCATTTTCTTTGCAGCTTATTCTTGCCATGCTTAGGTGACAGAAGTTTGTGAAGTACCATCCTTGTGCTCTGCCCCTTACTCTCAAATCGTTCTGGAAAGCCTCACTTCCTTTTCTGTGGAGAAGGTGCAAAGCTGTTAAATGAGCCCAAAGTTTACCTAGCTAAGGCCACTGCTTCCTGCTTTGTGCAGCCTGGAAAGTATGTGTGGTTACGGGGCTCAGGTTTGCACTTCTGCTTTGAGACCAGGCATGAGTGTAAGCCATAGAGTAAAGTTAACAAAAAGAATAAAGCTAATCATGTATTACTCACAGCAGTGTGCCCAGACTTGTGGAAATGAAGTCGTGTCACTCCTCTGCTCACAAACCTTCAATGGTTCACCATTACCAATGGAATGAAGTTAGATCTCCTCACTATAGCTGGGTGTGGTAGCTTAAGCCCATAATCTCAGCCCTTTTGGAGGCCAAGGTAGGAGGATTGTGTGAGGTCAGGAGTCTGAGACCAGCCTGTGCAACAAAGTGAGAGCCTGTCTCTACAAAAAACACACATGCACACAAAATTATCTGGGTGTGGTGGCATGTGCCTGTAGTCCCAGCTACTTGGAGGAGGATCACTTGATCTCAGGAGGCTGAGGCTGTAGTGAACTATGATTGTGGCATTGCACTCCAGCCTGGGCGGTAGATCAAGACTTTGTCTCATTAAAAAAAAAAAAAAAAAAATTACGAGCAGGGTGGCTCACGCCTGTAATCCCAGCACTTTGGGAGGCCAAGGCGGGTGGATCACGAGGTCAGGAGATCAAGACCATCCTGGCTAACACAGTGAAACCCCATCTCTACTAAACATACAAAAAAATTAGCCGGGCGTGGTGGCTGGCGCCTGTAGTCCCAGCTACTTAGGAGGCTGAGGCAGGAGAGTGGCGTGAACCTGGGAGGCAGAGCTTGCAGTGAGCCGAGATCCTGCCACTGCACTCCAACGTGGGCAACATAGTGAGAGTCCATCTCAAAAAAAAAAAAAAAGAAAAGAAAAGAAAAAAAAGAATGAAATCCTACTATGAGCGATCCCACCATCTGGCCTGAAACCACTTCTCCAGCTTAGGTCCTCTGTTATCCTTTTGGCCTCCTGTGTTTTGGTCAAGGCAGGCAACTCTGTTCTCTGAGCATTTCATTGCACTTTCCCACCTCTATACGTTGCCTGTGCCTGAGTGTGCTTCTTTTTCCAGTTCACCTGTGTGAACCCAACCCACCTCCCGGGGCCTGGGAAACGCCACTCCCTGCATCCAACATCTGATCGGCTGAGATATGTCTGATATATCCCTGCTCGCTGTTCTCCCGTTGTTTTTGCCACTGCCATAGAGCTCACCTCATTTTACCTTGTATTTTTGTTACTGTGAGTGTATCTCTCCCTATTAGACTGTAAGCCTCTCGAGGGTGAGGCCTAGCCTTCTTGTCTTTGTAGCCCACAGCAGCTGGTACTGTGCCTTGCCTATTGTAGGTATCCAATAAACATTTGCTGAACTGAATTGGTGTAATGTGCATGTGTGCCACAAGGATGGTATGAAGTGGCTGGGAGGCAGATCTCAGAGACGCATGCCCCATGACACATAGGTGCGTCCGTGTGGGAGTGTAGGAACACGCTGGCTGTTTGTTACACTGGCTCCTCATCTGAGGCACCACCAATTCTCAGTGAATAACAATAATATATGGAGATGGGGTGTGTTAGAGTGGTTATTCCCAAATGCTGGTCCTTGGATCCCCTAAGTCAGGATCACCTGGAACAGGGCCCTTGATACACATACAGATTCCTGAGTATACCCCACCCCTGTTGGATCAGAATCTTTGGGGCTGGTGTTCAGGAATCTGCATTTCAAACAAGAGCTCCAGGCATTGGCCCTGGGCTAGGTTTGGAAACTCCTTGCCTAGAAGAGAGAAATAGAATGATAAATACTCCAGGAACCTTATTTCAGATGAGTTTTTACCTCTGCCCAAGCCAAGGTCATTGCTGTAACCAGTGAGCAGAATCAGTTTCATGAGTCTTCCTCTTCTTTTTCTACCTACTACTGGATGTGCTAATAACCCTGAGAGCGAGGTTTCCAGACCTGGGTGATGAGCAGCTCTCCAAACATCGACTTTAGACTGCACTGACTGAGCAGCCCTTCTCAGGGCCGCCACTTGAGGAGTTTAAGGTTCCACTTGGAGCCTAGCATTGGCTCAGCTGCTTCCACCACTGTTCCAGCAGCTCACCCTGTGCAAACCCAGCACACTCCAAGGCTTAGTCTGAAGGGTCCAAACATGGCACTGTTGAGTTGTTGGCTCTTTCGACAGCAAAAGGCCCTTTAACATGCTATGGTGTCACAGCTGGTGTCACTGCCCAATATTTCTGTGCTGTTCTGTTTTTTTGCATCTCAGGAAACAATACGACTCCAGCTACGTGGTGTCCAGGGAAGACACATTACCTGAGTTCAGGTTGCCTGGCCAGAGCTCTGGGCCACTAGTTGGCGTGTGAGTGGCCAAGGCACAATGCATCCACGCATTTGGAAAGCTGTCTGGTCAGCATGCCCCCAAGGCAGCATTGTTCCTGTGTCCCAGTCCCTTTACAATACCATTAGAGCTCACTGAGGTGTTAATATATTCGTATCTCTGCAAGACAGTATTTTGGTAAGTTATAATGGGTGGTTATTTCTCAATTTGCTAGAACTTTAGGCTGTTGTGGCCTGTAATTGCCCCAGCAGGTCTGTCCAAGGCCTCTTCACCAGTCACTGCAGCAAGTCCTGGCACCAAGTCCTTCGCATGTCCTGTACCAAGAGCTCAGCAAGTGTAATCAGGGAATAAAAACCCACCTTGAGTCTCACCCTTCCTGCACCTCCCCTAGCCTGCAGCAGACAGAAGACCTGGGGCCCAGGGGCACAGAACAGAAAGAAGCTCGTAACCTCCATTATATTTTCAATTATATTGCTCAGGTGAATGGGGTCCTCTGCAGCGTGATAACATGAGCATTAGCTGAATTTGGGGTGATCCTGTCTCTCAGTCTTGTAGGATGCTCAGCTTGGAACCTGCTGTGATTCTTAAACACACACCCACTCACCAGCCCTCCCTTCCCTGGATGAACCAGCGTCATTACCAACCACCTTTGCCCACCATGCTGAGCCAGATGCTTATGGGGAACTGCTAATTCCCTTCGTGTCACTTGGTGGACAATCCCCAGAACTGAAAGGTGGTCAAATCAGGGAAGGAATGTTTTCATCACCTAAGTTATTAAGAAAAAAGCTCGGTAAAGGATATTCGAAGCTTGGTAGGTCTTCGCCACTTTCTCCAAGACTAGAATAGATTTGAGTGAATATCAGCAACTTAAAATATCACATTTGTGAAGAATATGAATTCTGTTTTGTGGAAATTGTGGGTCAAAGTAGGGGATGGCAACTGGGGCACTTCAAGTGGCACTTCTTTCAACTCCTTCCTTTTTATTTTCTCCACCCATTCCGACTTTACTGAGCCAATTGTTGGCTACTGGCCAGGTTGGTGAACAGAGAGAATATGGGCATCCTGGAACAGAGGTTAAGGTAGGGATATGTGGTACCAAAAAAGATATAAAGGAACAGCCTTTGTGGTCTGAAGACACCAAAACTTTTCCATCATCATCATTATAGACACATCTATGGTGTTGTCTGTCCAACCCCCCACTCTTCTAGGATTAGAACCCCCAAACTCTTGGTGAAACTGCCTTTTCGGAATAAGTAATGAGAGAAGTCTAACGTGACTGACTCCATCTTGCTTCTAACCTCACAGGCTAAGTTACTTTTTTGCTTTTTCTAGCATGGAAACCAAGATAAGTATGAGAGAAATTTAGTTCATAGTTAAACTTTGAGGCAAGGAAAATTGCCCCCCACTCCTTTTTTGTAGACTGAAGCTGCATTCATAAGACAAGGCTAAAATTGTGGTAGGGCCTTGACCTTCACTATAGAATAGGCATAGTTAAACAATTGACCTGCCATTGCTTAGTTTGTTTTTCTATAAGTTGTTTACCACCCCAGAATCACAAAACTGGGGGTCACATGATTTATAACTCCCCCATCTACTCCTGTAGATAACATCGCTATTGTGAAACCTACAGAACTGGTCTTTGAGATATTTTTCAGATTCAGCGTTTTAACAGAACAAGAGATGCCACCTGGTCCTGAGGCCCCCTTCCAGGAACTGACTCAGCCACATGAAGACAGTTTTAGGTGTCCCTGTGATTTCATCTCCAGCCAATCAATTGTTTCAGTTCTCCAGCCCCCTCCCTGCCAAAGTACCCAGGCTATTGAAATAAAACCGTAGTCTGGGAAACCTGGAGGCCAGAGCAACTGGTCAGGCCCGTGTGACGACTTAGAACTCAACTGGTTGGGAGTGAGAAGTTGATCAAACTCTCATTCTCAACATGGAAACGTCGGAATTTCACATTTTCTGATCATGACCACTCTGATTTGGAGCACCTTGTAGGAGTTACTGTGTGTGTGTTCATGCATGTGTGTGTGTATGCACAAGTATGTCTATTTAGTGATGAGTTTCCTGTTCCTAGAGAATAAGTAAATAAACCTTTGGGACAGACTCACTTTGTTCTGAAAGAGCACTTTTTGGGGAGTGAAGTTTGGAGAAGAGTGTAACAAGGAGTTTTGGGTTAACCAGGGCTGGTTCTGGAGGACGGAGCTGTGGTATCCCTCCTACATACCTGTTAGATGGGGAGGGCTTGGAGCTTGGAGGTTGCTGAGGAGGAATCAGACATATTTAGGTGGGAACACAGTAACCTCTTAGAAGGAAAGACCTTTTCTATTTGTGGTTAAAATGTAGTGAAATATATTGGATGGCTTGTGTTAGCCAATATGACCAAGGTCGGGCAGCGGGAAAAGTATATTTCCTCTAAGACAAAATTATATTATCACAGTAGGAGGAGTAGTTTGAATGGATCACTGGTTTCCACAGAAGAGCAACTGGAGGTAAGAGATGCTTCTGGACCCAGTGTCGATTCATGCAGCCACCTGGACACTGGTATGCCTTGAGAAAATGGCTGGTGTGTGAGTTAAAAAGTTGATCCTTAAGCTTTAACTCTTGGGGCCTGGGCTAAAGTTGCTAAGTGGGATATGTTGGGGGAAAGTGTCCAGGGTTGTAACAACAGGAAGTCAAGAGAGAGTGAGGATACTCCCTGGATTTCTATTAACTTGAGCAGGTAGGTGTGTTGATGGTCACTAGAGTTAGACATTTAAATTAGAGAAATGGCTAATCGTGCTGTTACAGGGTGGATGACTGTCTTGGTTATACTTGAGGACAAGAACTGTCTTCCATTGCTGTACCTCCAACACCTCGCACTTGTGCCTGGTAGGTACATGGTAGGCACCCCACAGGTATTAATCCAGAATTTTTAGAAACAATCCTTACCAGTGCTTGGAAATTTTAGATGGGGAAACGTGTTTGGTTTGACAAAAAGTTCTTTGTATATTTTTTGTCAAAGTTATGTCTTTGTAAGATCGTATCTCTTTGGAAAAGGTTTTTTTTTTTTTTTTTTTCTCTGCTTTTTTATTTTGTTTTGTTTTTTGAGACAGAGTCTCACTCTGTTGCCCAGGCTGCAGTGGCATGATCTCGGATTGCTGCAACCTCTGCCTCCCAGGTTCAAGCGATTCTCCTGCCTCAGCCTCCCAGGAGAGTAGCTGGGATTACAGACGCCCACCAT